CCTTCTTCTGGGTAAGGCTCTGAACACACACACGCCCATTCAGACCCTGGTCTCCCATATTGGGTCTGAGAGTTAGCCGCATGTTTGGCCTACCTACTACCCGCTGTGGTGCACCACCTTCTTCCCCCACCTGCTCCGTCTTCTTCATGACCATTCTCTTGCCTAACACAAATTTTACTAACCCTTGGGACACCATATAACCTATCTTCAGAAGAAGGGGATTTTACCTCAGAAACATTACCGGACGTACGCACCATGGGAAACGGACATGGCATCATGGGAAACGGTGAGAGAGAAGGGAAAAAAAAAATTAAGAGGGGTAGGAGACACCCCATTTGGGTCCTCCACCTCTCTCTCACCTCCCCTCTACCCCACTGTCCCCCCCTATCCGCCTATCTCTTTTTAGTGACTCTTTGCCATTTCTCCTCAGCTGATCTTATATGCTTTCTCTTCTAAAGACCACCCATTAATTTTTAAAGTCTGTAATTCTAATTTTTCACAAGTCATTTAGATCTTCTGGAAATCTCAATATCGTCGATTTCCCATCCTTCCACCCAGTCAAGCATGCCAGGAATAACCAGTTATAGTGGATATTTTTGTTCTTCATCTGATCTAGCAGTGGTTTCAGTAATCTTCTTCTAGCTAGAGTCTGCTGCAAAATATCTGCAAAGATTTGCACTTTCATCTCCCCGAACTTTATATCTGGCATCCCGCAAAGCTTTTTCCAAATGATTTCACTGTCTTCATAATGGTGGAATCTTACTATCACGTCCCTAGGGATATCTGGTGAAAGATTTTGAGATCTTCTTATCCTATGCACTCTATCTTCAATTGCTCTGTTTCTCTTCTCTCCATTATTGGGTTAAACAATCTTCTCATAGTGTCCTTTAGGTGTTCTCCTTGAGCCATTTCTGGTATCATCTGGTATCATCCTTAAATTGTTCCTTCGATCTCTATTTTCCTGATCTCCTAGTTCATAAGATAACAGTCTCTGCTCTCTTTTCATTTCCTCCATTTGCTCTTCTAGCTTGTTGATTTCTTGTGCTTGTTGCTCCAGCTTCCCTTCTGTCTCCTGTACTCGTGACAAAACTTGTCCCATATCGCAGTGTAACACCGCCATTTCGCTTATTATAGTATTTTCTAATTTTACAAACATATCAGCAATTTCTGCTTTTGTGGGCATTTGAGGCCTTAATTCTTGCTCCTCCATGGTTTTTTCCTCTCTCTCCAGCTTTGAAATTTCTTTCAGCTGGTTTCCTCCCGATGCCTCAAAAGACAATCTCCCTTGACCTCCTAGACCGCTTTCCTCTCCTTGACTTTCTGAGGCTTCTACTTCCTGTAGAGGCAAGTATTTTTTATCACACTTGTATTTAAATTCGACTGGGGAGTTTTCACTCCCCCTCCTTTAACAGATCAACTCTTCATACTTCTCAGGATATATATGGAAGATTATGCAGCGAAGTGCAGGTTTACTTTTCAAACGGAGTCCTTGGTACACTATCCCGTCCACCTCTGAGATCTTTGAGATCCCCAAAATACCAGTACTGTATCTCCGTGTCTCCCAGCCTCCAAAGTAGTGCACAAGGGTTCAGCTTTGGGGATTTATAGCCTCCCCCGGCCACTCACACACTCCTATGTGCCGTTCCCACTGGCCGCCATCAATAGTTCTTCCTTTACTCCCTGGATCAGGCTGGCTTCCTTTAGCATTGGGGGGGTCCCAAACCTGGTGGTCCTTGTCCCAAGTCTCTGCTTTGCTGCTCTTAGTCGACAGTTACGGTGCTCTCCTCCTATGTCTCCTATTACAAACTGTCATTGTCCATGCTCTGCTCTCAGCAAAGCCTCTGCCGCACTGAAGTGGAGGTATGGGCTTGGGGTCCGTTCAGGAAGGAACAGGAAGGCTCCGTCCTCCCGGTTCCGGCACTCAACTCCCAGGCTCCACTGCCTGGTCACCTGACCTGTCACTCGGGTCCTCCTGATCATCCGCTCCTCCCCCGGGTCCCTCTCCTCCTGATAGCAGGCGGCAGCCTCCCGGCACTTCACCGCCTGCACAGCTCTCTCCGCTCCTCGGGACCACTGGCCACACCGGACCTCCCGCACCCAGGACTCCCAGCAGCTACACAGGCAAGCTGCACGGACAGGCACACAGCAGTGTCAGGTAAGCACCATTTTCGGCGGGTGCAGGAGCTCCTAAGCCATGCTGCTGAAGAGCCTTCCCCCAACAAAGTGAGGTATGGTGTTTTGGTGATGTGCAGTGTTGCCAAATTTTTTTTTTGCGCCAAACATATCTTTTGGAATTATGGCCAAAAAGTTCAGAACACATTTTCTCACATGCTTTTGGTAGACTTCAGATGTGTTTTTGCAAAATGTAGCTGGGCTTGGATGTTTTTCTTTGTAAGAAAAGGCTTCCATCTTGCCACTCTACCCATAGCCCAGACATATGAAGAATACAGGAGATTGTTGTTACATGTAGCCTCTTGGCAGCCTCCCAACCCCAATAGCCCAGACCATAAGATTGTTGTTACAGTACCAAACAGCCAGTACTTGCCAGATATTCCTGCAGCTCCTTTAATGTTACCGTAGGCCTCTTGGCAGCCTCCCAGACCACTTTTCTTCTAGTCTTTTCATCAATTTTGGAGGGACATCCAGTTCTTTGTAATGGCACTGTTGCGCCATATTTTCTCCACTTGATGACTGTCTTCACTGTGTTCCATGGTATATCCAATGCCTTAGAAATTCTTTTGTACCCTTCTCCTGACTGATGCCTTTTAACAATGAGATACCTCTGATGCTTTGGAAGATCTCTGCGGACCATGGCTTTTGCTGCAGGATGCGACTAAGAAAATGTCAGGAAAGACCTACCAGAACAGCTGAACTTTATTTGGGTAAATTAGAGGTACTTTAAATGATGGCAGGAGTGTACTGACTCCTATTTAACATGATTTTGAATGAGATTGTTTAATTCTGAACACAGCTACATCCCCAGTTACAAGAGGGTGTGCACACTTTATTCAACCACATTATTTTAGCTTTTTATGTTTACTTCTCCCCCCCCCCCCCCCAAAAAGATTTCAGATTGTTTTTCAATTGAGTTGTACAGTTTATAGGTCACATTAAAAGGTGGAAAAAGTTCTGAAATGATTTATCTTTGTCTCATTTTTTTTACATCACAGAAACCTGACATTTTAACAGGGTTGTGTAGACTTTTTATATCCACTGTAGCTACCCCATAAACTTCCCAGAAAATAGAACAAAACTAACAATATTACATAGATAACTTCTGCTAAAAGACCTTAACATACACATGTGAAGTTATATTGTATGTAACTGTACAGCAATCAAATTGAATATTATGAGAATGAACTTACAAAAAGCAAGACAGAGATACATAGGCTAATGCACTCCCAAGTCATAATCCCACCCTCAGGGTGAGCATGGAAGCATATACAGTGCATCCAGAAAGTATTGTTTTCTATCCTTTGTGCTGTCCCTCCTCTTGCTGGTTTCCTTACTTTTTGCTTTAGGGATGAATGACATATGTGATAGGGATTAGTCTCCTTTCCAGTAGATGTATGTTCCTATGCTCACCCTGAGGGCGGGGTTCTGACTTGGATGTGTGTTTGCCCCCCCATTCTCTATCTTACTTTGTGTAAGTCAATCCTCCCAATATTCAATTTATTTGATTGCTGTACAGTTACATATAACCTCAATGTTTACCATTTATTATTATTACCCTTATCTAGGTTTATTCCACTTAGAAGTAATGGTGATGCCTTCCTTCTCCTCCTGAGGAAGCAAACATTTTCCATGAAACAAACTGAGAACTTGAGAAACAGCAAGAATACCCCCAACCATTTTGCATAATTTCTTTCTGCTTATGGAATTATTGTTTAATTTATTTACATATTTATCTGTGTTTATACATTGGGGGATCCTCCTGCTCTGATAGTGGGGTACATCTCTCTTTTTTTTAAAGAAATTATGTGTATGTTAAGGTCTTAACAGAAGTAGTCTATGTAATAGTTTGCTTGTTTTATTTTACTTCCAGAGAAGGTTATGGGATAACGATAAAGTATGTACTTATTTACAATATTTTCTATTGTGCCATTGCCGACTTCTCATTCTGCAAATTCTGGTTGACTGGTTGTCATGTTCTCCCTTACTTGATTCAATACTATGAGTCACTAACCCAGAGAAACCATACAAATAACCTTTGATCTGACATTCTTGCTATGCATATGCATTCCTGATATATGACCTATTCCCCATATGCACACTTGTTGCCAGGGAACTAGCATGTTTTTAATCACCTTTTTATCACTTTGCCCTCATCTCATCCCCTCCGCCAGCAAGATAAACTCACCCTTCAGCACTCCCTCACCACATACCTACTCTATCAGAGCCCTTACTCTGTTGAGCTAATGGACTGAGGCTTCTGTGTATGGGAGAGCATGTGACCTACTCTGTATGACAGTGCTCAGGCCTGAACCGCCAATTGTCAGCCCAAACACTGTAATGTGAAGGGCAACGATGATATCCACCCAGGTAAGCTGCAACACTGATACTTACTCAGGGTGTACTTCTGCAGGCAGGGGGTGAGCAAGCATGGCTGGGCGAGTATACCTTGCTGGAGGGTGGCCCATCAGGAAGCACTTTCACTCTGCCTTAAATGGGCAGGAGATGCTTCATTTTAACCGCATTGTCACACATTTTGCATGTGTTTTAGGGGAGTTTTAACTGCATTTGCAAGGGGGGAAATATTGTGAGAGCAGATTCATGCATGCGGACGTTCTCTTGGAAGGAATGCAGTGCCCACAATGAACAGTCAAACCAAAGTAAAAATGTCGATATCATTGTCCAAACATGTACATTTCAAAATACAGAAACTGATGTTTCTGTGATTATTGTGGAAATTATGAATGGAAATGTAAGGTCCTTCATATGACAGATAAAACAAAAGAGGAACACAGAAAGTAACACATTAATTTGCACAAAATACTTACTCCCCCTTCTCGTTCCATTCCAGGCAGTTGACACAGCCAGTATGACCCTATATAAGATTATAGAAACATCAGCAAACAGATTTTAATGCAAATGGAGAACAGCGCAGCAACATAAAAATATAGTAGGTGCAACATTTCTTGAACACAGTAGATGTATATTTTTCAGCTTTTGTGACCATTTTTAATTTTTTTTCGCTTTTTTCATTCTACTAAAGTACCTTACACATTACAACCAGATTATGCAGTATCTGCAAAATTCCCATTAAGTTGCCCATGCACTTTACATTCAGACAATCTCTTTTATTTACCCACATTATTAATATTATTATACAGTATTTATAAAGCGCTAACAGTTCGCTCAGCGCTGTACATTTCAATGGATACACAAAATTATTTTACATTTTTATACAGTTAAAGCTCAACTCTGGTTATTTTTTTCCCCATGGAGTGGGGCTGTGCCTGCACTGCAAGGGTCAACTGCTTGTTTTTCTAGGGTGAGCGCAAAGTTTATAACCGTGCTCCTCTATGGTCCTGCACTGGCCTGTTCCTGTCTATGATGCATGCCGACACCAGGAACTGTCCATTTACAAGACCGCTGGACAGTATGGGTAATGGACCGGTCTTGTGCGGTGAGGATTGGCGGATAAGGCAAGTACAGTGCCTTACAAAAGTATTCATACCCCTTGAAATTTTCCACATTTTGTCATGTTACAACCAAAAACGTAAATGTATTTTATTGGGATTTTATGTGATAGATCAGTGGTCTACAAACTGAGGACCGGGGGCCAGATGTGGCCCTTTGCTTGACTTTATCTTGGGGCACTATTTCACCAACTGTCAACAGTGATGGAGCACCATTCCCTCTACTGACACCATCAATGGGGCATTACAATTCTCATTGGTATCAACAATGGAGCACTATTCTTCTCACTGATCTCAACAATGGGGCACTATTCCTCCTATTAAAACTGATGGGGCACTGATGCCAGGGCTTTTCTACTCCCATTGGTCACAGTCAAGCCCCCCTAAAGTCTGAAGTACAGCAAACTGGCCCTTTGATTACAAAGTTTGGAGACCCCTCTGATAGACCAAAACAAAGTGGCACACAATTGTGAAGTGGAAGGAAAATGATAAATGGTTTTCAACATTTTTTACAAATAAATATCTGAAGAGTGTGGCGTGCATTTGTATTTAGCCCCCTTTAATCTGATACCCCTAACTAAAATCTAATAGAACCAATTGCCTTCAAAATTCGCCTAATTAGTAAATAGAGTCTACCTGTGTGTAATTTAATCTCAGTATAAATACAGCTGTTCTGTGAAGCCCTCAGATGTTTGTTAGAAAACATTAGTGAACAAACAGCATCATGAAGGCCAGGGAACATACCAGACAGGGTCAGGGATAAAGTTGTGGAGAAGTTTAAAGCAGGGTTAGGTTACAAAAAAAATATCCCAAGCTTTGAACATCTCACGGAGCACTGTTCAATCCATCATTCGAAAATGAAAAGAGTATGGCACAACTGCAAACCTACCAAGACATGGCCGTCCACCTAAACTAACAGGCCAGATAAAGACAGCATTAATCAGAGAAGCAGCCAAGAGGCCCATGGTAACTCTGGAGGAGCTGCCGAGATCCACAGCTCAGGTGGGAGAATCTGTCTACAGGACATCTATTAGTCGTGCACTCCACAAATCTGGCCTTTATGGAAAAGTGGCAAGAAGAAAGTCATTGTTGAAAGAAAGCTCAGAAGAAGTCCTGTTTGCAGTTTGCGAGAAGCCATGTGGGGGACACAGCAAACATATGGAAGAAGGTGCTCTGGTCAGATGAGACCAAAATTTAACTTTTTGGCCTAAAAGTAAAACGCTATGTGTGGCGGAAAACTAACATTGCACATCACCCTGAACACACCATCCGCACCGAGAACAATGGTAGTGGCAGCATCATGTTGTGAGGATGCTTTTCTTCAGCAGGGACAAGGAAGCTGGTCAGAGTTGATGGGAAGATGGATGGAGCCAAATACAGGGCGAACTTAGAAGAAAACCTGTTAGAGTCTGCAAAAGACTTGAGAATGGGGTGGAGGTCCACCTTCCAGCAGGACAATGACCCTAAACATACAGCCACAAAGCACTGACTTGGGTCCTGAATACAAATGCATGCCACGCTTTTCAGATACTTATTTGTAAAAAATTTGAAAACCATTTATCATTTTCCTTCCCACATGACTATGTGCCACTTTGTGTTGGTCTCTCACATAAAATCCCAATAAAATACATTTATATTTTTGGTTGTAACATGACAAAATGTGGAAAATTTCAAGGGGAATGAATACTTTTTCAAGGCACTGTATATCTCCGCTGTCCTCTACCCTTGAGTAAAACAAGCAGTTAACCAGTACAGCCCCACTGCTCTGGAAAAAAAAAAAACTCTGCCCGGAGTTTAGCTTTAAGTAAAGTCCTGAACTATACATTTGTTGACAAACCTAAAGGAGACTCTGCAATCAGAATGTACTCTGCTGGTTAGACCAAGGCAAGATTTTCACATTTTATTAAGGAAGGCTGTATATTTTTTGATCCCATCATCACTCTAAACCAGATATAAAACTTTAAACTCTTATGACTCCTTTGAATAACAAATTACTTTATAACTGTCAGTGCATTTTCCCATGGGAGTCCAGTGACTACTACTACAGGTCCTTTGCACACAGTGTATATACTGTATATGGGCATCATGCTAATTTACATTTTTTCAATGTAACTAATAGGTGCATTTGCCAACAAATGTATCTCATCAGAATTTCCTCAAATCTGTCTGGAGAGAAATGTGGAGGTTTATATTGCAGACCTCTTGGATATTTTGAAGCATCCACTGGTTTCTAACAACTCCTGGCATTTCCAGCTGTGAGATCTACTGCTTGGGTTACTGCATATTATTATTATTTATTTCAGGTATTTATATAGTGCCGTCAATTTCCACAGCGCTTTTACATACAGTATATATTGTACATTCACATCACTCCCTAACCCTCAAGGGCTGTACAATCTAAAGTCCCTAACTCACATTCATACATATACAGAGGGGAATCGAAAGTTTGGGCACCCAGCTAAAAATTTGTATTAATGTGCATAAAGAAGCCAAGGAAAGATGGAAAAATCTCCAAAACAGATTAGACATTCTTATAATATGTCAACAAAAGTTAGATTTTATTTCCATCATTTACACTTTCAAAATAACAGAAAACAAAAAAAATGGCGTCTGCAAAAGTTTGGGCACCCTGCAGAACTTATAGCATGCACTGCCCCCTTTGCCAAGCTGAGACCTGCTAGTGTCATGGATTGTTCTCAATCATCGTCTAGGAAGACCAGGTTATTTCAATCTCAAAGGTTTTAAATGCCCAGACTCATCTGACCTTGCCCCAACAATCAGCACCATGGGTTCTTCTAAGCAGTTGTCTAGAAAACTGAAACTGAAAATAGTTGACGCTCACAAAGCTGGAGAAGGCTATAAGAAGATAGCAAAGCGTTTTCAGATGTTAATATCCTCTGTTCGGAATGTAATTAAGAAATGGCAGTCATCAGGAACAGTGGAAGTTAAAGCAAGATCTGGAAGACCAAGAAAAATATCAGACAGAATAGCTCGCTGGATTGTGAGAAAAACAATTCAAAACCCACGTTTGACTGCACGATCCCTCCAGAAAGATCTGGCAGACACTGGAGTTGTGGTACACTATTCCACTATAAAGAGATACTTGTACAAATATGGTCTTCATGGAAGAGTCATCAGAAGAAAACCTCTTCTACGTCCTCACCACAAAAATCATCGTTTGAACTTTGCAAATGAACATATAGACAAGCCTGATGCATTTTGGAAACAAGTTCTGTGGACCGATGAGGTTAAAATTGAACTTTTTGGCTGGAATGAGCAAAGGTACGTTTGGAGAAGAAGGGGCACAGAATTTAATGAAAGAAGAACCTAATTATCATGCAACTGTTAAGCATGGGGTTGGATCAATCATGCTTTGGGGTTGTGTTGCAGCCAGTGGCACAGGGGAGGAACATCTCACGAGTAGAAGGAAAATGGATTCATATAAAATTTCAGCAAATTTTGGATGGTAACTTGAAGGTTTTGCCATGGCCTTCACAATCTCCTGACCTCAACATAATTGAAAATCTATGGATAGACCTTAAAAGAGCAGTGCGTGACAGACAGCCCAGAAATCTCAAAGAAAAATCTGGAAGTGTAAATGATGGAAATAAAATCTAACTTTTGTTGACATATTATAAGAATGTCTAATCTGTAATTTGATGCCTTTTAGAGATTTTTCCATCTTTCCTTGGCTTCTTTATGCACATTAATACAAATTTTTTGCTGGGGTGCCCAAACTTTCGATCCCCACTGTACATACTAGGGCCAATTTAGACAGGAGCCAATTAGCCTACCAGCATGTCTTTGGAGTGTGTGGGAGGAAACCAGAGTACTCGGAGGAAACCCACGCAGTCACAGGGAGAACATGCAAACTCCAGGCAGGTGGTGCCGTGGCTGTGATTCGAAACAACGACCCTAGTACTGCCAGGCAGAAGTGCTAACCATTTATGTTCCCTACTTTAGTATCTTCATCATTCCTCTCCATTAATCCCTCTAACCAAACTATTTTGAATAGGTTCATCACTGACACAGTTTGAAATTAATTTGTAACACACATTTATTCAGTGAGTAAAGACTTGAAAAATAATAAAAAGGGTCTTCTTGCCAGTGTCATGCAGCATCCACAGAAAAATTTCCAGACAGAGTACCTGTAGTTCTGCCTCTAGTCCAAGACGACGAATTAAAGGATCTGTTACATGATGACGTCTCTGAAAGCTTCTAGCTTTCCTTTCCTAGGACAGAAACAATACTTTTAAGTGATTTCTAATTTATATTTTTGCATAATACAAAAACAACCTAAAAAAACTTAAAAGGGAATCTGCCAAGGTAAGAATGTTCAACCTGTCATTGCAGAATAGCTTTTGAAGCTGCAGGTTCCTAAGTTTCAATCTAATTATGGCTTTGTTGCTTTATAACTTACTGACCCAAACGAACATGTTCACATAAAGTTTTCCTACAAGCAATATGCACATGCTTCTCCAGGTCAATAATTTGAGTATTGAAGGAAGAATAAAGATGACAGCTCTCATATATGCATCTTTTTCTCTTGGTTGGTTCCTTTAACATCGGTATTAAACCCAAAACCAAATATGTAATGTATTACAGCCTACAAATTCTTAGATATGATGGCAACATTATTTTTTTTCCCCTGTGTTTTCAACTGGTGCTCTGGTCAGTAACACACCTCCTGTATTACTATGGATGAATGAGCACAGGGGGCACCTTTGAACAGCAGTATTGTCAGTGTGGGAGGAGGAGAGTGTTAGATGGACTAGCAGATTTAGATCAAATTGAAGCCAAACTCCAGATAACACTTTATAAGCAGTAAACAGCAAAAATGTATTTTTCCTTTTGAGATAAAGGTTTTATATAAATATATAAAAACTGATCATTGTAAGCACCCCTATCAGTGGTAACTAGTTTGTGTCATCCTTGTTTGAGCGCTTGTTCTTTTGAAAAACAACAGTTACTGGCTGGATCATCAGGTGAAAATAAAATAAAGTCTAAAAACATATTTGCTTTTGGGTTTAATACCACTTTAAATATGATCATTATGCAAAGGTTACATTAAATCAAAGTGCAAGAATTTTTACATGGCTTGAAGGAACGTGTGATAAAACTACTCTGTGTATCATATGCAATAACTGGGCTGTGTAAATGTTAATATAGGGAAGTTGAGAAGCATTTGTGAGCATCTGGGGAGTGGTTTTCTGCACAAAGAAATTTTCCAGTATGGTAACAAAATGTATCTGCTTTATTGATCACCAAACCTCTGTCACCTGACCTCCATTTGTTTATTAGTTGTCTTGAGTAGCAGATTGTGGCTATTTTGATAACCTAAACAAGGAAGACCAGATCTTTCACTGAGAATGATCGTAAATATAATGAATGTACTATATTTTCAAGGAATTTTTAATTGCAAAGTAATTAAATGTATCACTGACCACCAACAAATAATATAATTATACACACAGAGTTGGCGGTAGGTTGTGTTGGTCCGTTTGATCATAATTTTAAAAACAAGTTGAAATTGCTAGAAAACTGACTCATGTAAGGGTCCATTCACACCAGCCATTGCTTTTTAACATGTGGCTGGTGTGCGGTATGGTCTGTGGAAATAACTGCTCTGTACTGCTCCATTTCTTTTTTTTTGAAGAGTTCAGTTGGCTGATGCGCAGTGTGAGGCAGTGCCCTACTCTTTTTCAGTGCACAGTGCCCTCACAACAACGTGACAGTATGGTGTGAATCGGGCACATAGCCTACAGCTGACAAAAACTGGGCAAATATATCCTCAATTTTTGTGAAAGATCTGCTCAACACTTCAATGATCAGTCTGTCATGAAAGCCACAGTGGTATAATAATCCGTAGCAGCCAAGAGTTCTGTAACCCATCTAAGAGACATTCATCAAAGAATTTTCATCTCTTCATCAATCTCAAATTGCTCGATCATCACTAGGAAATATTTAATTATCTGCATTAGTAACAAAATGCATTATTGGTTTTATCTGTAAAGGAAAGGCACTTTAGGTCATTTCTGCTGATAACTGATATAGCCATGAGCTGTTGTCAGCTTCTGAATCCAAGAAGTTAAACAAATGAGACTCAAGATTGAATGCAGAGGGTAGCAGGTGTATTTTTTTTTTCTTATTTACTCCTCACAAAAGATGGCCAAATCTAATGCTACTTATAAACTGAGGGTGTCATTAAAATGCAAAAAAAGATCCTTTTTCAGTGTATTTTATTTCCCAATACTCATAGCAATTTATGGAAACAAAAAAAAATAATAATTTCTGAGGTTTAGCTACAAATCAGATATGTAAAGCTGAAGTTTAGCTAACACATTTTCTTCTCTACATTACTTACCTGTGGTGTAGTATGTCCTATGATGTGCAGGTTGCTGGATTTTGTAGAAATCTTTACTCCAAGGTTGACCTGCTCTCTTCCTGCTGCTGAATCTCCTGCGCTATGTGGTTAACAGCTCTGGATCTCTGGGTTCAGCTACACTAAAGATTATCCGACGGGGAGGACATGATCCCTCCATTAAGAAACGTTCTTTCGCTGATTACACTGCCTGTAACACAAACTGTGAAAGGGAAAAAAAAAACCCTGTGCCAGATATTCAGGTGCAGGAAGAGGACAAGGCAGCCTTGCAGTGAAGAGTTCTACAGAATCCAGCAGCCTGCATGTCACGGGACATATGACAGCAACTAAAGCTGTCTTGTCATAATTCAAAGATCTCCTTCTTCTTCTTGTTCACACTTACTTTGTTATCTCAAGGATTCTAATTAGGCCTTCTAATTGTTATGTTAGGACTATAGAATGATTAGTCTATATCAGTGTTTCTCAACCTGTTTTAGGTCAAGGCACCCTTTAAAATGATGCACAATCTCAAGGAACCCTACTCTAAAATGTAAAAAACTAAAAGTTTTACATAATGTAGCAACGTCCATACACGTAGGACACCTAACATTGGAGGTGATTTATTCTTCCAAAGGAAATACGTCTTTGCACACTGGTACTGACTAATATTCCAGCATTTCTTCTTTCTCAGTTTCTCTCCATCATTCAGCTAATGTGAGCCCAATGCTGATAAAGGAGCGGGGAGGGACAAACAAGTATGCTATGCTCCTTATCAACTGAAGACATCATTGGTTGTTGAGAAGCTGGAAGATTGTAATGGTACACCTGCGGCTCAGTGTAATGAAAAGGCAGGTTTCATCCATCCGCTAGCTTGTATACAATTTTTGGCCAATTTTTAGGCATTTTGCCAAGGCACCCCTGCAGAAACCTAAATGCACCCCAGGGTGCCTGGGTAGTCTGCCTGAAAAGGGCTGGTCTATATGTAGTGCAGAATAGGAGATGGGTCTGAAAAGTTTAGCAAAAATAAAACTGGGCAGGCTGGCATCACTCATTCCACAAAAATGCTGTGTTTTCAGCACACAACAGGACTTGGGAGTTTATTTCTGGCAAATTCATGAGTATTCCTCTGTACTTGCAGGTTCTTTAAAGGAATAAAATATGGGGAAAATTCTCTGTATTGCAAAGAGGCCCTGAAATGTTTTTTCTTTCTTTCCTTTCCCTGTCAACACCTGCTGGAACTGCAATTTTCCCTCCTGATATAGATGGAGCTGGCAGTGTCTGCCAGTGTGACTTGTCTACTCCCCTAAATTCTAACAAATATTCTGTTTGACAGAATATTTCTGCTCATAGCCCTGCTGCCCAAATGTGCTTGGATCAAGCATGCATATCCTACTACCTTTTAATGCCTATACTTAGTCTTCCGAAGTTTGGACACCTTTCAGCTATCCTCTATTATGATACATATTGCCCTGTGTGACTATACTACATGCATGAGTTCTCTAAGGGAATGATCTGATGTTTCTAAAATAATCTTATACACCATGTCCTGTCACTCCAATGTACAAAACAGAACAGGACAGATTTTTAAAGAGAAAACAGAGGGGCTACATACAGTGGCTTACATACAGTACTGCAATTATCAGTTTCTTAGAGGACAATAGTGAATACCTCAGGTAGTCAAAGCTTTTAGTAATCATTCAAGAAGTCTTCTAAATTACATCAAACCCAAACCTGATCAAAATACAAATACTGTACACTTGCCACTGTCAAAGTGAGTATCACAGAGTGAGCTGGCAGAGGTGTGATCCTTTTTGAGAACATATAGATGACTTATCCCGATTGTCGCTAGGGAAATCTTCCTATCTATAACCGCTGTCAATGATCATCAAGATAATTCCCTCAGATTAAAAGGGTATTCTGATTTCATGCAGGTAAGACTTAACCCACAAACTTACACTGACAGGAGAAGGAAAGCAAAGAACAGCCAAAAAGAACCACGCACATGTAAATAGCAAATATGTCTGCCTCTATGCACACATATATTTATAAATAGTACACAGAAACTAGGATAGTTAAAATATTTACACTCATTTATAACAATTAAGTATACACCCGTGTAAGGGATGTGTTTGCCTGCACGGGATGCACAGGTGTTCTGTGGATCGGCATACAAGCAGTCCCATTCATGTCAATGGGACACAGCGGCTGCATAGACATCTGTGCAGGTGTGGGTGCGTGACTGTGCAGCCACTGCATCCCAATTAACATGAATGGGATTGCCTACATGTGGATGCATGAAACACCTGTGCATCCCGTGCAGGCAAAACACTGCCCTCACACAGGTGTACACTTAAATAGGTACGTGTGATTAAGGCCTTACTTACACATTCATACACAGTAAATATCTAAAATAAGGAAAAGAACTCCAAAGTTTTTATAATTGTGAAGACATACCATTCAGGGATAGGTGTTTGATCTGTTATTCTCTTTCACTGTCAGTTCAGTGTCAGGCGTAAGGCCCCCATGGAGGCTGACCTATCTCCTGCCTGAGCTGTAGGCTTATAATACACATGTTGTCCTAATTTCAGGAGCAAGGCAAAACTGTCAAAGTTTGTGAGCGCCGATTTATAATGGAGATTGGACATCACTATCAGCTCTCTGTTATACTCACTAGGGTACATGCTAGATTGCACACACTGCAGCCCACATTTAATGACTCATTCATAAAATGCAGGCTGCAGTGTGCAGCCTGTGGTGTCCTATGGAGTCCTGTCTAATTAGCGCAGTACAGAGAGTTTTGCGATTGTAGGAAAGTCAGTCATGTGAATGACAGGTCATGTGGCCAGGCTTTCCTCCTGGCTATTTATTTAT